ATTTTGTAAGGGAGGAAAATTGAATTCTATAAAACTTCAGCCCTAATCCCCTAGTTTTGTCCTTGTACATGAGTATCACATCACATGTAGTGATAAGGGCAAAAAAAAAAAAAAAAAAAAATCTTGTTGCCACCTAAATAATTGAAATAGTATCTTTTTGCCTACTCAATATGCATTGGGATAACTAGGTAATGACTTCCCACGCAAGGCGTGGGAACTTTAGACCTGTTAATAAGATTCTATTTGTTATTGTGATATTTTTTAATGGTTGATACGATGCTATAATTCAAAAGAATAAAGTCATTGGAGTATTGTACAAGAATTGTTTGGTAGTCGTTCAAAAGAAAGAGCCAAGTATACCATTTACATATACAGCAGCATGGCTGATTCAAAATATATTGCTGAAGCCACTGCAGTGCTACATAAAAGTTGTCTGATATATTCAAGCAGGAGAGCCTGAACAGATTTATCACCATTTTTCATGTGCACAACAAATTCCAGAAGTTCTTCTGATGCCCATTCAGTCTTGCCTGGTGAAGAAATGTCTTCACCACCTCCTCTCACAACCGCACCAGCAGATTCCTCTTCATTAGCAACAGATCTTAACCCCACCATAAAATTCACTAGAAGAGACACCAAATAGCCCCACCATATCATGAGCAAAGTTTAATCAAAAGATTCACAATTTTACAGCAAGACAATTTTTAAGACCTAAACCAAACAATCCAATTTTGCCTGGAAAACCGGACATGAAAAGCAAGCATTAATCTGTTAAAGATGCAATAGTGTCAAAACAGAATTGACGTTGAAGGGTTAAAGGAATGAAATTAGTGTTGTTCAAATAATTACATTCTAAAGGGAAAAAGAGGTTTATTAGCCAGAACCTTTGGCAACCCAATTCACATTCTCTCCTTGAATGGTAATAGCCGGTATTATGGATTTTAAAAGAACCAAATAATCATTAGATGCATATGGTGAAAACTCATAAAGAAGTCAAAGAAAGCATTAGTCCAAGCACGCCCACAAAGATAACAAAAAGATAGAAGCTATTAAAATATGAACAAACCAGCAAACCTATCAAGAGAAAAGTTAAAATAACTATTACAACCAATATACAATGAAAACCAATCAGAATGAGTATGACCAAGGCCTAATTGAATATAAATTACTCTACTTAGTACTTGCACCACCAAAATTAAAGGTAATTCTACCTGTCAAGAAAGGGGAGCGAGAGAGAGAGAGTACATTGTTAGTGTCTTTGTCATCGCTTTCAATTAGCTTGACAATCCTCATTCATGTCTAACAAAAGCCTTTATTTCCTCGGACACACAAGAAAGCAGCATCTTTCACACATCCTTTGCACAAGGCTTGACAATCCTCATTCATGTCTAACAAAAGCCTTTATTTCCTCGGACACACAAGAAAGCAGCATCTTTCACACATCCTTTGCACAAGGCAAAAGGACAGGTAAGACACATGTAATAGGCATTCTTTTGACAAGTGCTACAAATATGCCAACCTGAAATACAACAAAAGGACGAGTGCATGTCAAAGGCTATCAAAACCTGCATAAATATAACACAACAACGTCAAATTGACTATGTCTAACCAAAAACGAAAGAGCAAGCAGAGATCAGTCAACCATATTTTATGAAAAACTTCAGCATAGAAAAACGATTAAATAAAAGCATGAAGTGGAGGGCTCAATTTTCCCAGAGTATACGTTAGCAAGTAATCATCCTTTATCAAACTACATGTATAGTAAATAATGTCAATTGTAAGAGCATGCTGATATCTCAACTTCATCAAGAATAATGTTCAAATGTCATGTCTCGTATGATATACAAACCCCAACCCTTTTAACATGACCAGTCAAGTCATTTCTGCAATTTCCTGAGGTTCTCTTTCCTATTCTTGATATTCCAAAAGTGCTTCAGTTGGTGCAAAGAAACTATCACGCAACTGAGGTAAGAAGAGGCATTCAAACCCTGTAGCAATTAAAGGTTAGTCTCATTGGACATGTCAATAAGTCACGTTCTTCAGTTTTCAGAGTATCTTAGGTTGTCCGCATGTTAAATTAGTCTCTCGAGAGTGAGTACAATAGGCGAATAAAGCTTTCAAAACTACTTAAGAACACATAAATTTCACAAAGTAGGTAGCAAAAATCACATATAAACAACTAAAGAGAATAGCACTGCACTTATGCATCTGAACCCTCCAAAACAAATTTAAGGTTACGTGTGAATATTGTTGCATCCCCGCATCTAACCATGTTTGCAGAAGAGACAGATGCACTTACCACAATTCCATTTGCCCTTTGCACGGAAGAATGCCTCATCCCGATTAACACAAGGGGGATGATATGCCTTGGGGCAACCCCTGAAAAAATAATGAATCAATATCATTTACAAAGAAGGCATATAAGTAGATACAATAAGCATGTGGATCATATTCAACACATTAGTTAATAAATTTTCAACCCTCACATTCTCTCCTCTGAAATATATTTCAAGTGGAATGGAATTCAATTTGAAAAGCCAGCATACTTACCGCCGGTCACACACCACAAGGTCTCCCCCATCAAAGCAAATGAAACAAACATCCTCATCCATTAGCTTTTGAGCTCTTCATCCAATTTTAGAATTAGTCAAATTTTTAGAATTCTTCCCCCTCTTGCGCTTCTCTCCAGCAGCCTTGCTTGACTCCCCAACATCTGTTTCAGTTTCCAATTCCGTCTCCGCCAGAGCAGATCCCTCCTCAGCAACCATGTCTTCATCTTCCTCATCTTGTGGAACAGACACTGAATCATCTATTTTAGCATTGGACTCAACATCACTAACCCTAGTAGTCACCATTTCAGCTTCAATCTTCTTCTCCATTTCAGTGTCCGCAGTTGGAATCCCCTCCTCTTGAATATTTTCCTTATTTTGCTCAATACTAACTGTAACCACTGACTGTTGACCAACAAACTCCAAATCATTTGGCACAGAATTTTCAGGTGCTGCCATTTGCTTCTTTTCATCCATCTCCGCATTGGCTAGAAGACTTTCCTCCTCCACCACCCCACTCTTACTATCTTCCATTTTTTTTATGTCATCCATTGTTGCGTTGCCTACAATACCTGTCTCCTCACTAATACTTATCTCTTTATCCACCTCTTCTTTAGCTGAATTTGGAGGTTCATTATCATCCAATTGTAAACCATGTGAACCCATAATCTTTTCACCTTCAGTTACCTCAGCAGTCGAAGTGGATATCTCCATGTCCACCTTAATCTCGATTTTCACAATCTCATCTACCATTACTTCTTTACCGTCAGGTAACTCCTCTTTCTCCTCTCCTGTCACCACTGCAGAAGATTTCACGGGTATCACCACCATTTCTGCATCTTGCTCAACTGTGACTGATTCATTAGCGCTTGATTGCAAATTGTCTGGCCAAGCAGGCGGCTTTTCTCCTCCAACCATGGCCACAGCTTCGTCAACCACCACATCATTGCTCCTTGCAGCAACAGATTCGGCACTATCAAGTTGGGAAGAAATAGTTACGTTAGATGCATCCTTCCCTGCATCACCTACAGTTGTGTTCTCCACTTCAAATTCCCCTGTCTCAACCACTTCTTTGACCTCTTCAGCCTCTCCAACAGCAGCCACAGACTTGACACCTAGTATAGAGGCATCCTTCCCTTCATCACCAACAGTTGCCTCCTCCACTTGAATGTCCCTTGTCTGAATCACCTTTTTGGCCTCGTCAACTGCAGCCACCGACTGAGCACCTACAACGGAGGCATTCTTCTCATCATCACCTACAGCTGCCTCCTCTACTACTAAGTTCCCTGGGTCAAGCTTAGAAACATACGGAAACAACTCTAAGTCCCAGGGAAATTAGATGCATGCTTGTAGACAGAAATTTAGAAAATGATAAGAACTGCCAAGAAAAATAAATTGTAAGAATACAGTCCAATCTCAATTATTTTGCTGAGATACATGGGCAAAAAAACTAATCGCATGGGGATTTCAGGATGATATCAAATTGTACACTTCTAATACAAATCTTTTCAGTGAACGAGTAAACAACGTAGATGTCATACAAAAATATCCAAAATGAAATTATTAAAAAGAAAATCAATAAAAAAAAACCATTCTGACAGGGAAACATGCAGAAATAAGTGTTCTCAGTTAGACGCTATCAAGCACCTGTAGTTGTTAACTATAAGCTACTTCTCAATTATGACATTGATAAATTTATTCCTATCAAGCTATGAGACTCAGTAGACTGCATCTTTGCAAGAATCAAAGAATTGCACACTTACTAAGTTTTAGGAACAGGACAGAGATGAATTGCAGAAGCTGCTCATTTGGAGTGCCAACTTGAGCAGTAAACAAGTGATCAAAGACTCCACAAATAGAATTTACTGCTGTTTGTTCAATAAAGATAGCCTTATCATCTTCGACCTAATCTTGGATTGCTTATATAACTTTTGCATCATTATTAATGTTGATCAACTCTTGCAAAATATTTGAAGCTTGCTAATTCCAGAACAACAAATCACAAATGCACCATTATTAATAAGAAAAGAAAAAAGACAGGCTTAACAGATTTGCACCAAAGTTAATGAAAGTTTAGAGTTAAAAATATTAGTTATTTTAGGTTCCTTGATTTAAAGGCTAGTTTTCAAAGCATTGCATTAGATCAGAAGCCTACTCAATCTAACATGCACATTAATCAAAAAGAAAGTCAATTGATAGGAATATCTAAGTAACTTTTCGTTGAGACATACATTTAATATTGAATCTGAAAAAAAAAATTTGTTGGCTAATGTACTTGACAAAACATAGAACTTTGGACAATACTGAAAAGACATGATAACAAGTATGTAATTCTCACACTCATTTCTGGATACTTAAAGTAACTTAAACAAGCATGAAAACAAAGTTTCTCATTCAAACTCAAAATGAAAAGCAGCTCAATTCACCAGTTCTGAAAATAAATTAAGAGAGTAAATTATGTCCTAAACAGAACAACAGATTAATGGTGGCAAAATGTGCAACAAGGCAAAACAGAAGGCTATCTATTGATATACGAATTGATCATATTCAGAGAGAGATACCTCCAGAGGCTATCACTAAAAAGGCTTTTAGTCATTTGGATAGCTCCTTATGTATTTTTGCATTACAATCTGAAACATATAGTACAACTGCAATCAATACTGTTAGCTTAAAGAAAAGGCTTTGCAAGAAAAAAAGCTTAGCAGTATCAGTTCGAACCTTCAGCAGCTTGCCATGTGAGGAGGATGTAGCAGACAATAACCCTTCATTTTTTGGCTCATTCCCAACCAATGCACTTTTTGACTCAATTGAAGACAACCTATCTGAATCATTTCCAATCTTTTTACAGATTAAAAAAAGTTCAGCCATCAAAATGGAATACTAAAAACTTATAGCAGAGAGACAATAAAATAGATATCAATGACTGGTGTTAAAAAGGGGGAGGGGGTGTTCTCTTATTGTCGAAAGTTAGGCCAATGCTAATCATTTCCAAACATATCAATGTTTCGAAAAAAAAACAAAAAAACAAACAGCAAACCAATTTTTTGTATATCAAAGAGCTGTAATTGTTTGATTATCAATAGACATAACATGAAGAAATTATGAAACCTTTATTTGGAACGAAGTCTTTGTTAGTTACATCTGTAATGTCCTTTTAGCTAAGCTTCTGTCTATGGAGTTATAATCTGGCACATTAACAGGTTGTGCAGCTTGCATGACCTATATAAGAGGATAAATAAAACTTAATAAGTAATTGTTACAGAATCTAAATGAACCTGCCATGCATGGGAGGATCACTTAGTACATGAAAGGATACAAATTGTTAAACGAAACATGCAAAACCTACCTCCACTACACTGCCTTCGATATTAACTCCACATTAAAAATAGAGTTCAAAAAAGGTTTACAACCTGTAGTATACTTATGCAAAATCACTAAAATTGATGTTGAACCCATAGCCAAATATTTTAACGCAAAACAAGAAATCTTTTATGACTTTCGGCAAGGGTGATTTACCATATATATAGATTGGAAGCGAAACAAGGTATAAGATGCTTAAAACCATGAAACTTTCCATAAATTTCTGTTAAATTATTGTGTTTTTATGAATTTTGATGCATTACATGGTTAAAAGAAATTACCTACGCAACGCAAGAAAACAACCCAAAAATAATGAAATTGAAGTTCACCTCAGGAAATTTCCCTTCCTCTCCAAAAATGGTACAAGAAAGACAGTAGCAGCTGCATAGACCTACACAATGAAGAAACCCAAAATTATTTAAGGAAAATGATAAAGCTGAACGAAGAAACAAAGAAAGGCCAAAATTTTGTTTAAGTAGAAGGGAGCATCCACTTGAGCTTCAGCGGCAACCTTTTACTTGAAAATCGAGAGTACTGCAAATCCTTCAATCAGTAATTGAATAAGAAATAGAGATTTTTGTATCAAGATAAAAACGGAAAAGTAAATAGCCAAATTTGATTCGAAAAGCTAAAAATTAACATCAACATCGGAAATGATACTTACGAAAAAAAGTCACCACTGGAGCGCACAGCAATCTTCCAGCATAATTGAAGTTTTCACAATCTTAAATAGTGCTTATGTTAAACAAGACAAAAACCTGTGCTAAAACTGTTGGATCTTTAATCCAACATTGGACTTATATGTGAATAATTATGTATTGCAAATTGTCAATTAAGGTTAAACCCAATTAAAGTGATCAAATATAGTTTGGGTTTAATGTATCTAATAGGATGTGGGTCCTTAATGTGTAGAGACTTATGGGCTCCCATTTCAAGGCTGAAATAGGGCTCCAAAAGGTAATAGGAATGTTACCTATAAATAGGGTTATGATCCCAGGTCACATGTACCATTCTAGTTGTCGTATTTCCTAATACCACAAAATAGCTCTTCCCTGATATCCCATCGTCATGAAAGATACCAGAGAGAAACTAAAGGACTCTCTCAAAGGATCGGTAAATACGTGTTGACCTGAAAGGCCACCTCAAATTCTCTAAGAATTCAAGTATCTAGTTTGTCAATATGGATTCAGGTACGCTTCCGCTATTTTCCTATTAATTTATTTCTTAATAATCGCCATATAGATTTTGGGTTTAATAGGTGATGGTTTTCACCAAAGGCTAAATTAAGATAACCACCCTATCAAGTGGTATCAGAGCCCTTATGGTTGATTATTAGGAAATAATTTGGATTTAGTAATTTATAGTAAATTTACACTGCTGATTTAGTAATTTGCAAGCCTTGGTTGCTGATGGTTTTATAATTGCATGCCTTTTGTCTTCGGCCTCTGATTCAATAAAAAAAAAAAAAAAAAGGAATCCGTGGGTTCTGCTCCCATGGTGGATGAGTTTTTATACGGTTTTTTATGTTCATGAGTGCTTGCGTAAGTCAATAGGCATGAACTGTTAGTCTGATGCCATTCATGTGTTTTTGTCTTCGGTCAAATTCATGGTCAGAACTGTGATGCTTTTGCCTTCGGTCAAATTCTCCCAACAACTCAATGCTTTTGAGACACAAGTCTTCATACGGTTTTCAACTTGTTTACTTAAAACATGAATCAAGTGATGATTATGTGGGACTTACAAGATACTTGCTTTCTGGCTTCGGGAAGTAGTTCGTCCTCTTCCCCACTATTAATAATTAAATTGATAAAGTATAATGCAATTCAGTAGTTGATTCATGTGCTCAACCTTAAATGGCCGAGAGTCTCTTAAGTAAATTATTGATATGGTGATTTGTGTCTTAAATCTTGGGTACACAACTTGCCATGTTTTACCGTAATTAGTATTTTATTTTGGCTTGCTTCCTTGTATAAGAGAATTTGCATATATTTATATGTTAAGTAAATTAGGGTTTCTTTAATTAAAGTGAACCCTAATGAAGTTAAATAGGACATTTAAGCCCTATAAAATCCATATGTGTGGCCCATTAAATATGTAGTTTTATAAAGTACTTATGGATTTCAAAAAAAAAAAAAAATTTTGGGCTTGAATAATAAATTGGGTCAAATTATGGATATGAACCTTTTGGTCCAATAAGTCTTGATCCAATTAATTGGTTTGATCACAGTTGACTAAAGTTGACTTTGATCAAAATTCTTGTTTAATTTGTATAATTTTAAATTTGAATATTGGTATGGATATATATATTTTAAAATAAATTAATTGAAATAATATGCCACCAAAGTGACCTTTATTATGAAAATTAATTTATTTTAAAATATAATTAGTTGGGTACTAGTAATTTTATGAATATTGATCGGCCCAAAGGAATGTCAATATTTAATGAAATTACATGTGCACTTGTGGTAATAAACATGTGATAATTATTCGGCTTTTACATGTGAATTATAAATTGGCCCAAAAGAAAATTTATTTTTGACACGTTATTATTGTCAATGTTTATTACTGCGCCAAGATATCACTTAGAAATTAATATTTTGTCCAAAGATAAAATATTAATGGAATATCGGTATCTTGAGATGGGGTTACCATTATTCAGATTTATTATTATTATTTTGATTTATGTGAGCATAGTTTTAATTATTTTATATTTTCTGTTCAATTGCAAATGATCTTACAAATATTACTTCCAACATCAATAATATTCCTATGCTGAATGGCACAAACTTCAAGTCCTAAAAAGAAAATCTCTTGATAGTACTTGGAATAATGGATCTCGACCTTGCATTAAGGATTGATTCTCCCCTACCTCTTACAGATCAGAGTACCTCTGATGAAAAGAGAAATAATGAAAGGTGGGAGAGATCAAATCGCTTGTGTCTGATGATCATTAAAAAGGCCGTTCCAGAAGTATTCAGGGAAATAATGTCAGAAACGACTGCAACCGCTAAAGAGTTCCTTCAGGACATTGAAAAAAGATTTGTCAAGAACGAAAAGGCTGAAATTAGTACGCTCTTGACACGCCTAGTTTCAATGAAATATAGTGGTAAAGGTAATATCAGAGAGTACATCATGGAGATGTCTCATCTTGCTTCGAAATTAAATGCACTTAAGTTGAATCTCTCTGAAGAGTTATTAGTGCATTTGATTTTAATATCTCTTCCTACACAGTTTAGCCAGTTTAAGGTGAGTTATAACTGTCAAAATGAGACTTGGTCTCTAAATGAACTCATCTCACACTGTGTAGAGGAAGAGGAAAGGTTGAAACAAGAGCAGACAGAAAGTGCCCATCTGGTGTCAACCACTAATGATAAATGCAAGGGACTTAAGAGAAAGAAAGAAAAAGGAGCTGCAGGTACAGCGCCACAAAAGAAACAACAATAGAAATCAAATGATCAGGGAAAGAGTAGTAGTTTCTTCTGTGGAGCTGAAGGGCATCAAAAGAAGTATTGTACCAACTATCACGCTTGGCTTGCTAAGAAAGGTATGCTTCTTAATTTGGTTTGTTTTGAGGTTAATTTAACTTCGGTACCTAGACACACATGGTGGTTTGATTCTGGTGCAACAACTCACATCAGTGTGTCTATGCAGGGTTGCCTGAATTGCCGAAAGCCTAATGATAGTGAAAGATATATCTACGTGGGCGATGGCAAAACAGTTCAAGTTGAGGCAATTGGAGTTTTTAGATTATTGTTAAAGATCGAATTTTATTTGGATCTCAATGAGACATTTGTTGTACCGTCTTTTAGATGGAATTTAATTTCTATTTCTGCTTTGGACAAATTTGGTTATTTTTGTTCATTTGGAAATGAAAAATTTGAATTGTTTCATGATTCAAAATTGGTTGATTCTGGTTCTTTAATGCATTACGATAATCTATATTTAATTGATACGATTGTCTCATTTAATGAATCTCTGCATTTGAGTACTAGAGGAGTAAAGAGAAAATTAGTCAATAAGAATTCAGCTGCATTATGACACAAAAGATTGGGACATATCTCCAAATGGAGAATAGAAAGACTTGTGTCAAATGAAATTTTCGACCCCTTAAATTTTACAGATTTTGATAATTGCATTAACTGTATAAAGGGGAAACAAACCAATAAAAGGAGATTTGAAGCCAATCCGTCTTCAGACATCTTAGAACTTATACATACGGATATTTGTGGACCATTTTCCATATCTACTTGGAACGGTCAACAATATTTTATAACGTTCATAGACGATTTTTCAAGATATGGTTACATATATCTCATTTCTGAAAAGTCACAGTCACTGGACGTGTTTAAAAATTTTAAGGTCGAAGTTGAGAATCAACTCAACAAAAGAATTAAAAGCTTCAGATCTGACCGTGGTGGTGAGTACTATAGTAGATATGACGAGTTCAGGTGAACAACGTCCAGGACCATTTGTTAAATACCTAGAGGAATACGATATCGTTCCACAGTACACTATGCCGGGTTCACCCACTATGAATGGTGTAGCTGAAAGACGAAATAGAACGCTTAAAGACATGGTAAGGAGTATGATATGTCATTTTACCTTACCTGAGTCACTCTGGGGAGAAATACTTAAGACTGCAGCATATATTCTTAACAGAATTTCAACTAAAACAACTATCAAAATCCCTGATGAACTTTGGATTGGGAAAAAATCCAGTTTAAAACATCTACATATTTGGGAATGTCCAATTGAGGCAAGGCCTTATAGGCCTAATGAAAAGAAACTGGACTCAAGAATGATTAACTGTTATTTTATTGGATACTCTGAAAAATCCAGAGGTTACAAGTTTTATGATCCCACAGCTAAGTCAATTTTTTAGGCAGGAAATGCTCGATTTCTTGAGGATGTCGAGTTTGGGAGAGAAAATACAATAAGGGACATTGGCTTTAAAGAGGAATATATTAATATTTCCACAGGTGTCATTGCTCTTGCTCAGGATCCTATTCCTGAACTTGATCATGATATGACAAATCAAAACAATGTCGAAGAACAAACTGTTATAGAAGAACAAACTCTTCCTCTCCAAGAACCAGTGCCATTAAGAAGATCCATTAGAGAAAGGAGAAGTGCAGTGCCAGATGATTACATTGTTTTTCTCCAAGAACATGAGGATGACATTGGATTGATGGAAGATGATCCAATCAACTTCCGTCAAGTCATGAAAAGTTCAAATTCTCAAAAGTGGATCGATGCCATGAATGAGGAGATTAAATTCATGAAGGACAATGACAGTTGGGATCTTGTCCCATTGTCAGAAGGAGCAAAACCCATTGGTTGTAAATGGATATTTAAAATGAAAAGAGATTCGAAAGGCAATGTGGAAAGATGCAAAGTTCGTTTCGTCGCCAAGCGATTTACACAAAAAGAATATATCGATTATAAAGAAACCTTCTCTCCAGTCTCTTCAAAGGACTCTTTTAGAATTATCATGGCATTAGCGGCACATTTTGATCTTGAGTTACATCAGATGGATGTAAAGACAGCGTTTCTCAATGGTAACATTGATGAGACGATTTATATGGTGCAACCAGAAAACTTTGTATCGGAGATCCAAAGAATATGGTTTGCAAACTTAAAAACTTCATCTATGGGCTCAAACAAGCTTCTCGACAATGGTATTTCAAATTTCATCAAGTGATCATCTCATTTGGTTTTGAGATGAATCTAGTAGATGATTGCATATACCATAAGTTCTGTGGGAGCAAATATATTTTTCTGGTATTATATGTTGATGACATTTTACTTGCCACCAACGATATTGGTCTATTGCATGAAACCAAGAAATTTCTAACTAAGAATTTTGAGATGAAAGATCTTGGTGATGCATCTTTTGTGTTAGGCATACAGATACACCGTGATCGCTGTCGGGGTATTTTAGGACTATCACAAAAAATTCTATCGAAACGGTCCTTAAAAGGTATGGCATGCAAAATTGTAAACCAGGTGACACCCCTGTGACTAAAGGAGACAAATTTACTCTTGAGCAGTGTCCCAAGAATATTTTTGAGGAAAAAGAGATGCAAAAGATTCCTTATGCATCAGTAGTAGGGAGTCTAATGTATGCTCAAATATGTACGCGTCCGGATATTGCATACATTACTGGGATGTTAGGTAGATATTTGAGTAATCCTGGATTAGATTATTGGAAAGCAATCAAACGGGTCTTACGGTATTTACAGAAAATAAAAGATTACATGCTCAAGTATCGGAAGTCAGATGAGTTAGAGATCGTTGGGTATACTGATTCCGACTATGCTGGATGCCAAGATACTATGAAATCAACGTCAGGCTATGTGTACTTGTTGGCTGGAGGTGTCATATCCTGAAAGAGTGCTAAACAGTCCCTCATAGCATCTTCCACTATGGCTGCAGAGTTTATAGCTTGTTATGAGGCATCCAATCAAGGAATTTGGCTGTGAAATTTCGTCATAGGATTACGTGTAATAGATAGTATTGAAAGACCACTTAAATTATTTTGTGACAATAAGTCAGCAATCCTATATTCCAACAATAACAGGAGCTCGACGAAATCTAAACATATAGATATCAAGTTCCTGGTTGTTAAAGAAAGAGTGCAGAATGGACAGTTATCGATAGAGCATATCAGGACAAACTCCATGGTTGCGGATCCGCTTACTAAAGGATTGCCACCCAAAATGTTTCATGAGTATACTGCTCGTAGGGGTGTCATATTATTAAATGATGTACAGTTTTAGTAGGAGTTTGTTATTTTGAATACTCTTATGATGTTTTTAGTTATTAGGGATTTAAAAATATTTTATGCATAAATAAAGTTTGGATTTATTTGCACTCTAACTTTGGTATGGTTTGATCTCATAAAATTTAAGGTGAACCAATTGGAAATAGGCATGTTTTGATCACATTACATGAAATTTTCATGCTACATATCCACATCATGATTCATGTCATTCAATTGCATTGATATATGTGACCATTGATGGGTCGAATTACGAAATTGCAACAAAGGCCGCTTTGATCCTATATTGGTGTAATTGATGGATCGAATTGGTTACAGATACATTGTGATAATGACAGTAAAGTTGAGCTCAGACGGTTAATTACAAAATATAATTATAAAGTTACACATATAGTCCATGTGGGAGATTGTTTGATTCTTAATCCAATATTGGACTTATATGTAAATAATTATGTATTGCAAACTGTCAATTAAGGTTAAACCCAATTAAAGTAATCAAATATAGTTTGGATTTAATGTATCTAATAATTGTGTCCACAATAATTGTGTCCTGATATTGTGGACCCTTAATGTGTAGAGACTTATGGGCTCCTATTTCAATGATGGGCTGAAATAGGACTCCAAAAGGTAACAGGAATGTTACCTATAAATAGGGTTATGATCCCCAGGTCACAGGTATCATTCTAGTTGTCGTATTTCCTAATATCACAAAATAACTCTTCCCTGATATCCCATCATCAGGAAAGATATCAGAGAGAAACTAAAGGGCTCTCTCAAAGGATTGGTAAATACGTGTTGACCTGGAAGGTCACCCGAAATTCTCTAAGGATTCAAGTATCTAGTTTGTCAATATGGATTCAGGTACGCTTCCGCTATTTTCCTGTTAATTTATTTCTTAATAATCGCCATATAGATTTTGGGTTTAATAGGTGATGGTTTTCACCAAAAGCTAAATTAAGATAACCACCCTAACAAAAACAAATACTAACTGGTATCTCCTGGAGGACAAATGCTCAATTTTGACAAAAGTAAATAAAAAAGAAGGAGAAAAAAGAATCAACGGTAGCCAAAAATAACGTGTACAAATTAGAGCAAAATTCAAAATTTTATCTGTTCCTTTGCATTTCATATCAAGTTTATCAACTCAACATACAATAATTATCTCATCCATTTCAAATTCTAAAGAGAACTGTTACCATTTTTACTTGCTGCTTTCTCACCAAATACCATTGAAGTACAAAAACCCCTAACGCCCATTAACGCTTCAACACAAAAGTGTGCAAAACAAATAAGATACTCAAAAGGGAAGAAATAAAAAAAGGATGGAGAGAGGAAAAAGGAAAGCTAACCAGCTTGAGCTGAGGGGAGCGGCTTCGAAAGAAGCTTAGCCACCGGCTTGGATTGCTGCTGCTGAGCAGCTGCAGGAGCTGGGGTTTTCTTAGCTGCGGCCACAGGAACCTTCTCAGCAGCAATCAGCTGTGATGGGTCTTCAGTGTATTGCTCACAACAAAGCGATATTTCAGAGTATTGTACTTGTTCTTGTCTTGATTGATCAGACGCACCCTAGCTCGGTAGTCCGTCTTTCCCTCTTTCCTTCTCTTAAACGGGACTTGGTAGTGCTTGAAGTAAGCTTTTGTTTTCTGGGCTTTAACAAGAGCCATTGCTACGGCAGTCGGAGCTGGCAGCCGCGGGGTGAGGGGGGTGTTGAGGGTGGGGAGTGGACGGGGGCACTCGAGTGAGAGAGTGGGTTTGGTAGGTAATGTTTTGATAATGCGTAGTATATCGTCTAATAAGTGATAAGGTCGACAGAATAAATGCATAATTGGCTTGAATTAGTAATGGCCGACAGAATTCAGAGGGAAAACGGTCTCCAAGAATGGGTAAAAAGTTAAAAAGGCTAAATTACATAAAAAGGCATATTTAGATGGAAACACATCCACATAATCAGCATCTAAAGGGCTAAAAAGGTATAAAGAGCTATTAATTACTAACACTTGATTAAACCGTCCCATCGCATCTGTCAAACGGTCAAAACACTCCCCAACCAAATATTACAACCTTCCGCACATTCTACTAATAGCCGGAGGACGAGGGGCTGGAGCGGTTGTCAGACAACCGCTCATAAACTTTTCATGGCCAAGATGTGGTGGGCCCATCATCAACGGCCAAAATGAAGCCACGTCACAAAGTTAAATGAGCTGAAGAAGACGGCGTCGTTTTATTGAGTGGCAAATAAAAAAATAAAAATTGTAGAAACGGACGGAGCATCATCGTCAAATGGCGTCAAATTTATCCCGCCCAAATAATTAATGAAAAGTTCCTTTTTATCGGAAATCCGCATTTCACTTTCCCCATTTCCCAAACCCTTTTCCCGTTGTCTGCTAATGCAAAAGATCACTCCACAAAAGAACTTCCATTTCACTCCACAAAATCACTCCCATTTCACTCCCCGTTGTCTGCTAATTTCCAAAACAATTGCCTGAATTCATCCTAAAGAAGACCCACGGTGTTTTTTGGAGGAGGAGAAACTGCATAATCCAAGGTAAGATGGAATCTTTTACACTCTCTGCTCCTTTGTTGCCCTTGTAATGTACCGACAACATTGATACTCTTCATTTTTTTGACATTTTTTTTTAATTCATTGGGGTCAAAATTCTCTGTATTTTCATTGTTACTAGATTACGAACTAGTAATTTCGTTGTTACTAGTCTGTAATTCATTGTTACTAGATTACGAACTAGTAATTTCGTTGTTACTAGTCCGTAATTCATTGTTACTAGATTACGAACTAGTAATTTCATTGTTACTAGTTCGTAATCAGTAATAATTTCGTTGTTAACTAGAAATTACAGGTTCGTAATGTCTTCTTCCTGATTTTTATTTTTATCTTGTAACAAACTAGTAATTTCTCTGTAATTTCTCCTGTAATGTCTCCGTTTTCACTAGGGTTTTTCTTTGCCCCTCTCAATTATGTTGATTGAATTTTTCAATTTTTAATGTCAATTTTTTGCTGCCTAAGTTGTTGTGGTTTAATTTTGATTTTAATTAATTTATGTAATTGTGAAATGATTGAAAATCTAGTAATCAATCCAAAGAACCTGCAATACTAGAAGAACGAAAGGAAAAGATGAGAAATTGTCAAAAAAAATCTGATCCTGTTTTGTTCAGTTTTGCATTACATTCTGTTCAAGCTAATTGTAAGTTTTTTTTTCTTTTGGCAATCATGATATGCTAAAATATTTGGTTTTTTTTGCCTATTGATGGGCAAGTTGAATTTAAGGTTTCCAGAAGCTCGAAAAATTTCTTTTGCCTTTGCCATTGTTGTCTTGTTCATTAAATTTTAAATTTTTCGAGTAGTAGATTAAATCAACTTAAACTCTATCTAATACCGTCGTGGCTTGAGCCCAAAATTATAACTGAAGATGCGGAAAGACAATGAAAATGAGAACTTAAACTGCATTGCTATCATTTTCAGGATGGTGATGCTGTGCTAAGGTTTTCAAAGCCAAATAAGTATTGGGTTGAAAGCTCGCAGAAAAGGGTAAGTTTTGTGCTTAAATTTCTCAGACATGAGCTTGCTGAGAAAGGCTGATGTTGTGGACTTTATCTAGATAGATGATTACTTATTTTTTTGTGCAAAGCAGTTAGTGGATCTTGTTGAAGGTGAATGTTGGCTTCTGAGTAGAGTATTGAATTGTTGATGCTAAGTTGTGATCTAATAAAGCCACTTAGGACTCAGATTTTTGAAGTAAAATCTTCATTAAAAGAAATTATAGTAACATAAAGGCGGTGCTTTTTTGTTTTCAGTGATCACTGCATGGCTATGACACAGTTTCAGCAAATATAGCTCCTGGTTCTATTTGTTAGATAAAGGATTACTAGATGGAGGGGATAGGCGGAACATCCTATGTGGTTATAATATGGGCCTTGAGTTGTACACTAGTAATCATTTAGAGCACTGTTTATTATATTTTGACTTGCATCTGATTTGTGTAGTAACAGAAAGTTTAATATCACTTGTAAAGTAGGTGGCTTTAATGTTTGATATGGATAACTTATACATGTTTCTTTCCAAAATTTCCAGATAGCCCTTTGGAATTATCTATACCTAATTGAATATGGTAGGCATGGACATAATACTATAACCTTATTTTATTATGTGTGGTGAAGATGTGACTTATTTGCAGTATGTGCATGTGTATTGGTTTCCCAGGAACATCTGGGTTGCTGTGTTGTTAACTGCCCCTGCCCCGGGTTTTTTGTCATATAAAAGAAGACTAGGCAACGTTTTCAAACTCTCAAGTAATAAACTTGTTTGGGTACTTGAATTATTAAGTTTTGAACTGACACAAAAATGTTCTTGTTAACTTTATGCATGTATGTTTCTTTGCATATCTTATTTTGTATACAAACTATCTAGGGATTTCTTCATTGATATCTATAATCTAAGTGTATTATGTTCAGTCAAAGTGGACGTGATGGGAAGAAAAAAGAGGGGAGGGGTGAGTTGATTGCATCATTTGGAAACTTCAAGCCTAATGCTGCAAAGGAATCGGTAAGAGTAGGTCCAATGATTTGCTTTTGTATCTGTACCATTAGATTACAAGCCAGTCTGAATGGATACCAAGGATCTATATGATAACTATACAGGTTTAAGCAGGGGATTCCTCTCTTCCCTTTTTATCCATTATATTGATGGAAGTATCATGCAACATAGTGCAAAAGTTGAGTAACTGGGAAGGATTGAGGGCTTCATGGTGACAAAGAGTATGGAAGGGTGATGCTATGCATCATTGCAATCCCTTTCTCTTCTTTATAAGTGTGTTCTGGTTCATAATGCACTATGATAATGGTTACATTTAGTGAAGATGATACATCTAATGTCTTAGCTGATAATTGGGTTCTTAAGTTGGTAAACTAGCTATATGTCTAGTGTCAGAGTTTGATGTCTCTAGTTTTACCCCCAGTGGCTATCCCACTGAAGAAGTCATTGCTAATGAACTCAATGTTCTTAGTGTTTCCTTTTTTTCTTTTTCCATCCACTTTTCATACTTGCCTATTTTTTGTTCTAAATGATATCTACAAGTGCTTGGTATGAGATTTTCAGCTGACAGTTTATTTGTAGAATACAAATACTAAAGGATGGCGCTCTTGAATCTTTAACTTTCCACTTAATTTTAATGTTACCAAGACAGGATATGATGTTCAATTTAAGAAACTGTTTGCTTTTAGATTCTTGTCTAAGAATACTTTCTTGTGTTTATCATAAAACATTTTGAATTTCATTTGAGCACTCTTTTTCGCAGTATGTACCGTGCGCTAGAGATATAGTTCTTGGGATTGTGGTAGATTCTAGATCAGATGTAAGCATTCCATATTTCTTTTGTTTGGCTTTCATTAAACCTGCATTTATCTTGTCAGTGAAATTTACTCTTTCCTCTCTTCCCTAAACTTGTTGTAGAAGTTTTGTTTTATGAGAAAATAAGCTAATGAGCCAAAACACATCCAGTTTTAGGTTCATAATCATCGGGCAACTCTGTTTATTTCCTCTTTCCTGAAAGATTCTTCTTCTGGTTTCCTATCACATATTATGATCACAACCAGAAAAATTTTGCTTCTACAAACATCTAGAGAAACAATCTGATAAATAAGAGGGTGCCGTGTCCATATCATTTCTTGAGACCATAACTAGTGACGCTTGTATATCTATAACATGGTATGATTCCACAACTTGTATCTACTAAAACGCAATCATACAGGTATACAAACTTTAGATGCATGTATACATTTGATGGCCTCACTGTTACTTGTCCGCTTTAAGCACTTAGTTTTTTACCATAACTGTCATGGCAGAACTTTCTTTTGGACATTAAAGGACCAATCTTGGCGTTTTTGCCTGTACTTGCATTTGAAGGTGGAACAAGGAGGAACATACCAAAATTTGAGGTATGATTTTTATTTTATTATTTTTTTGGAGTTAAGTGTTGCATTACATATTGAGTTTTGAATTTTCATTTCCTAGTAATGAAATATCAACTAAGAAGAATAACACTATATTTTTATACATATACGTGTCTTCGAACTGAATAAATTTAAATGCCATAATTAAGTTAAAAACAGCTTTTACTTTTGTCAACATTAGAGGCTGTTTTTCAGACTATTTAGTGTGTTGTGAAAAAAAATCAAAACTTAGACAATTATTTTTGGAATACATTATCTCTCCTAAGTTGTATGATTGAAATTGGAAAGATGTAGTGTATTATATATTCTTTCTGCAGAGGAAATTCATAATGTTACCCTGGTGTAAATAATGTTTAATTAATATTTATCCAGCAAAGATGTATTAGAATATTTTGGAATTCTTAACCTTTCTTCTTTCTGAAGAAGTTCATTTTGAACATTTTGTAACTTTATGTAAACCTCTTGTACATTTGTAACAACAGAAGTGTGTTAATGAACTTCTGTGAAGAAACCTCAAGGGATAGGATATTGAAATTATCCTCAACAGAAGTGTGTTTTTTTATGTCATTTATTTTGGTGCAGTTTGAAATGGGACATCGGGGAACCAAGAAGATGAATGTTACAAAAGATAAAGGCAAGCAGGTTGAGGAACTTCATGACAAGAATCCAGTAAAGCCAATGAGGCCACCAACTGATTTCA